TACAATAATAATATTAGTAGAATGAATCTTCTGCTAAAACATGGGACCATACACCGCCATATGCTATTTCTTTGGTGCATGTGGTGAGTAGTGGAGCAGGCCCCACTGCACGTATTCATAAGGAAACAAAGACAAATAAACGAGAGAGCTATGGGCATCTTCATCCTAACCCATAACTGCCGACATGCAGACCTGAACGCCAACCTTCAGAATATATTGGTGGTCGGCCGGACATGAAAATGTAACCTGTGACTTCTGCAATGTTCGTGGGGCAGGTCGTTACTAGGCGACTACTCCCTTCTCACGAACTTACCCCACCACTGCGTGGGATTCACAGAAGGGAGGGGGAAGGCTAGTTTCCGTATCCCGCCTAAGAGAAAAGTTGGAATGAGCCCTATTTTATGCTTTGCCTTTTTGAAATTTCTGGGGGTAGGGCCTGCGGAAATTGAGATTCGGTAGCCCTTGCCCCAAAAAAAGTTCGGGCCGGGGGCGCGGCCGGTTTGCGAGCTCGCGCGGTGCGTTAACATTTTGGCCGAGTTGGGGATCCTAAGGAATGACAAAACCCCTACTTTTTTCTTTTTTTTTTGACCTAAATTTTACCGTGCGGTGAGCTGCGCGCAGTGCACAAATCGTGCGCAAATCCGCGCACCGACGTGCGCCGCAACTATGCTTCTACCCCTTTCCTTCTTCCCTCCCCTTGTGTACTACTATGAGCATGCCAATATCTACATGTCATTTTTTCCAGATACGATTGTCTGTTAACATTTCTTCTACTTCTTCCCTCTATCTTCCTATAAAATTTGAACGTCTGAAGAAAATTGAACAGGATTATACCGCCCCCTTTACTCTGCCTCCTTTCATAGTGTGCAAGGGTGCCGTTAAGGTACACCGGGATGTGGGCAGCAGCCGCTCAGCCATAATCGACGTGGCCAGCCTTGTACATCAGAGGCACAGTAAGAAGGGAGCTGCAAGAACAAGCAAAAGGGGCACCCCAACGAAATCCAAAGTAAAGATACTTAAACCGGAACTAGATGGCCCCAGCCTTGCAGAAAGTTTTTGTCGCCACAAGCAAAACTCGGAGGGGCCGCGCTGCGTGGGGTGCTGTTGAAAAAAAAAATCGGCTGCCTCCGAAGTGGTGCGGGTTTCGTGCCGACACCTGCGGGCTGATGTGTACTGGTGCTTTAAGAAAGGTGTTACGATCCTGGCCAATTTCGAAGTATACATTCATCTGAAAGTACAACGCCATCCAATTGCAAAAAGAAATGAATGAACTTGAGAGGAAAGAGAGGGAAAGAAGAAGAAGAAGTGAGAAAGAAGAAGATGATGATGTACTCCAGCATAGACCAATATCAAGGCTCTTCTTCTTCGCCAACCAATCTCTTCCTCCTTATCTCCTCCCTCTTATTCAAACAAGAAATAACAATAATAATGTTGAATGACTGAACCAGAATCCATGTCCGAATCCCACTTCTACTGCAGGCACAACATGAGGTCCACCATAGCCATGGCCACCCTTSTTCTTCCTCTACATACAGGCCGAGGCTATGGTGGATTACTGAGGCTTCAGCCTCCTGTCCAAAGGACAACACAAAGCAGCTATGCCGCCGCTGCTCCACTTCAAGGTCATCACCATGCAGCTATGCCGCTGCCCACTCATCCACCATGCCTGACTCTGTCCCGAGCTTCCTTGATGCGGTACTACCCCCACTGGGGCCTTCCTGATGCAGCGCCTAGCAAGGAGATGAAGATGGTGTCTACCATAGCCAGTAAGTGCCTCGCCACTCTCCTCCTTGGTCCCCTTCTCCCTCCTCCGCCTACCGGTAGAGCTCCACCATAGCCAAGGTGGGAGCTCCCGGCTTCTTCCTCCCAGCAGCGCTGTAGTGCCCAGCGCTCCTCCACCTAGTGCTCCAGCAGCGTGACGCCCAACTCGCACACTGAAGAATGAGGCCGGGCTCTCCGCCCTGCCTCTTGATATAGCGGCCTACTTGCCTCCTGGGCGGTGACTTCCAGGCCGCTCGGCCTCTCCAAGCAACCGGTACCTCCTCCGTTTCGGAGGGAAACATCATTGCAGACCCTGATATTACCCGTACAGGCTCTAGACTCAGACTGGTTGGACTGGTACCGGCTTAGACCTACCCTACCGCTACTGGACTCTAAAAATGCCAACTTTGTCTTTTTCTGCTCGGCCTCCAGTACCCCCCTCATGCCAACTGCAGTGGGGTGCAGTATCGGCCTACCGGCCTACTTGAGTTTTTTTCCGCTACCCCAAGGGCCGCGGGGCCGCTAGTTTCGCCACTTGAGTGTTTTTCCCTGCTACAACCCTCAATGTCACGGCCACAGGTAAGTACTGGCCCTATGGGCCTACCAAACAAGCAAGTACCCTTGCGGGTCACACACACACTCATACCGACAAGCACTCAGTCAGGCACGCAGGTCACAAGCACGCACACACAGACAGACTTAGAAAACACAGCAGAATGCGGGAATCTCAGCAAGGCATCCATTCCATCGGCAGAACTTCAGAAATCAGCAGAGTTCTCAGTCTGTGTTTTGACGGGTCATTACAAAGGGATATAAATCATATACTGGATCTCTTGTGCCCAATGTTGCTTGCTATAGAGACAAAACTGTTTCCTTGTTCGATTGGCTCATCTCAAGCATGCTTCATTGTCTGCAATAGAGGCAAAGCCGCTTTGATTTTGGATCTACTCATCTGGGTGGAACAGGGGCTGTTGTGATGAAAATATAAAACGCAACACACGTTCAATGCCACAGTCCACACCTGAACCTGTCCTGTCCTGTCCGGTCTGTGGCGGTGGCGGTGGCCACTTACCATAGGCAACGCGTGCGCTCCTCAAGTCAAATTTCCCTGCAGCCAAGCACTGCCTGGAATCTACCGTCCACACCCGAATAGAACGCCCGGTCATTATCGCCGCATCTGGACGGAATTCTGTGCCAAATGCAGCGATAATGACCAGGCATTCCATTCGCCGTCCACACCCGAATAGAATGCCCGGTCATTATCGCCACATCTGGACTGAATTCTGTGCCAAATGCAGCGATAATGACCAGGCATTCCGTTCGGGTGAAGACGGTAGTGCTGTTCTATAGTAGTCTGCTGTGGCGGGTGAGTACCGAGAACTGCATGAAGTTCGTCGTCTTTCCTCTGGTTTGAACTCCCTCTCCCACTTTCTCCCCCTCCTCGCCTCCGCTTGTGGGGTACTATGTGTGTAAATCATTGAGAGAAAAGACAAGATATGACCTGAAGAGCTGCTGAAAAATGAACGGGGAGTTACCTCCTCCTTTACTCAACTGTGTTTCATAGAGTGCAAATGGGCCATTGTCGCGCCCGGGTATGTGGGCAGGTTGCGCTCAACGACAATGAACGTGGCAAGTGTTGTACGTTAGAGGCACAGCAAAAAGGGAGCTGCAAGAAGAAATAAAAGGGGTACCCCAAAGAAAGCCAAAATAACAATAGCGGAGAAAAAGGACTGTGCAAAGAACAGGCAATATAACGGTTTTATTGGACTGCATGTTGTTTAGTATGTTTACCGTAGAGAAAAAGCTGTTTCAATCATGGATTTGCTCATCTCGGTGTGCTTCATTATTTGCTATGGAGGTAAAGCTGTTTCAGTTGTGGATCTGCAGATATGCGTGGGTCTGAAGATCTGGGTGGATCTGCAGATCTGGGTGGGTCTGCAGATCTGTTTCAGTTGTGGTGACAGTTTAAAAACACACATAGACATGCTCGGACACACAGACACACACGGAGACGGAGAGAGAGAGAGAGAGAGAGAGAGAGAGAGAGAGAGAGAGAGAGAGAGAGAGAGAGAGAGAGAGAGAGAGAGAGAGAGAGAGAGAGTGCTGAGGCCAGCAAAGCAGGAGGAAGAGGGTTGCGGTTTGATGTCCCTCCCTCCTCCTGTCAAAGATGTGTGATTTTGATCTTGGGCCGCCTTGCCTTGCTAATCCTGAAGGCCTGAAAAAGAAGCCGATTTTTGCTTTGCGTTTTCACTGCAGACATGCCAGGCAAGAGGAGGAGGAAGAAGCGTCTCTCAGACTATGGTCTGATGAACCGGATTGAAGTCAATGACGAGGATCGCGTGGGCCGTGTTGTATGGAAGCTCCTCGTGAAGATGCAGAATGCAAAAAGTAAGGAGGAGCTGGAGGAGTGTCTGGAGGACCACTGTGGGAACGATCGCGCAAAGAAAGAGGACGTCCTTCGTGCCTGCAGGGAGTTGAGAAACAGTTACGATTGGCAGCGCGTCGCCCAGGTGGGAATCCCGACATCCACGCTGTAAAGGAGGGGGGGGGGGCACAGTGACAAGATATCAGTTCTTAGGGTTAAACCACCAGTACCTCCACGTTTTTAGGCCGGTAACACAGTGGCTGAATCGGTGCGCCGAGCAGGACCATTTGCATTTGCCTCAGAGCCTACCCAGAGGGGGCCTAAGACCCCCTGGGGTGCTATGTTAAGAGAGCCACCTGGTTTTGGGAAGGGCATAGTGACAAGGGTTGAGTGACTGAGGGCAAGGATACTGGAGTCACTCAGCCAGTCAGGGGAGCCAGGTTCGACAGGCCAGACCCCATTTGTCTGGGCAATCCAGGCAGGTAAAAAATGTGCCAGCAAAACTTAAAAAATAAAAACAAAGGATTGACTTGGGGATGGATCTGCACTTCATCTTTGCAGTCATAATCTGGGCTTATCTTTGAAAGCGTTGGTGGTTCAGCTAAAGAGGGGGGGGGCGAACAGGGTTTAAAGGGGTTTAAAGGAGTTTAAAGGGGTCTGAAGGGGTGGAAAGGGGTGGAAAGGGGTGTGCCTTGAGGTCATTTTCTGTTCAAAATTCAAATTGATTTTTATCCAAACAAGTGGACCCCGCCATGGCTACGCCGTGGCGCACAGCAACACTCGCTGATCTCTCTCTTTCTCTCTCTCTCTCTCTCTCTCTCTCTCTCTCTCTCTCTCTCTCTCTCTCT